CAAAAACCTCATGAAGATCTGTAACAAAACTGACGATAACTTATCAGCTTAAAGTGTCCGCGACTTAAGTTAATGCTTAGTTATATTTCGGAACGGAAGAGGTTTTAGACCGTCATGACAAAAAATTCCCTGGCTTCTGAGGTCTGTTCTCGAAATTCCTAAGATGAAATAAATTGCGCTCACGGTTAGAAAAAGCTCCCCCTTCCACGAAAAAAGAAAACTGAACCTCTGGCACTCAGGGTAGGCAAAAAAAGTAAACAGTGAAAAAAGGTCGGTATCGAGAAATTAAGTTGTAGACAGTTGTTAAGTGCCGTGTACGCTACAGAACGTTCAGGCTTAAAACAAATGAAGGTCATTGAACAGAAAATAAGATCGCTATATCATTCTACCGTATTCCTGTGGCTTGTAAGTGGATTCTTTCATATTTTCAGCTTCTTTTGAGTTTGCCTTTGCCGCCATTTTATGTGTTTTTCACCAGTCTCAAGACCTCGTACCCAGATCCTCTCAATCTTTATCTTGGCCGCCATTTTGAATAAATTTCCACTCTCGGTGGACAAATCAGTCACGTGTTTCTGCTGTGTGCCAGGGTCTTCTCTCCTGCCGCCGCCATATTGGAAAGCGAGAAGACCCTGGGGACGAGGTTGGGGAACGGGCAATTTATTGAAAGAAAGGGGCCTGGAAACAATACAGTGAAGGGACAGCTGGTCAGCGGGCTTGTTCCTTTGCACATGCTCAATCAGGTTCGTTGATTTGGCGTCCATTTTGAAAGTGTCCAACGGTTTCCAACTTGCTTCTTTGGAAGTTTGGAGATCGTTCATATATAATTATGCTTCTTGATAGCATCACAGGACATCTTAAGGTTGTTAGAAATTATTATTGCACTATCAGCCTTTAGTAATCGATCACTTCTCAAGTGTAAAGCAACCCTTTCGGGACGAGATGGAGACAGAAGCATCGTGTGAAGGGAAACCGGTCGTTTCGCCTACAAGTCGTTTCACCTACACTCTGGTTGATTCGCCTACACGATCAAAGTCGTTTCGCCTACAATGAATTACTTATAATATAACAGTGTATAAATAGCAGTAAAGCTTAAACGTAATAATCGTACCAGTGTCATTTCATGTCTTTTTTTGATGCACTGTGAAACGGCACATTTTTGTCCGGTTTTCCTTTTTTTTTTTAAACTATAAAACATCTTAATTTGGTATAATACTAAGTTAAGATGATTTTTTTTTTATTTTTTTAGAAGACTGTTTTGACCCATCTGAAAAGTTTATATACACTGTATCTTCCTATTTAAACCTTACTAAGATGTTGGAAAAATTTTCGTTTTTTTAATTTTTAATGTAATGACAAAGATGCTAACACAGAAATAAATCATGATATATGTAGAAAATTCAGTTTTAGGGTATCAGTGTGTTTTGTTTTTTAAAACCTTGTAAGATTACTCTTTTCGGGACTACACTTAAAGTATGCGATTCGTATTTGCAGCT